GTGTGTGTGTGTGTGTGTGTGTGCACGCGCGGGCGCACGCGCGCGAGAGCACATGCTCTCTGGGACTTTGTATAAAGGACTTCTCCATTTACTCTAATTTTAAAATGAAACTCTTGTTAAAATATTTAACTTGTTCACTATTTTATTTTTTGTATGCAATTTCACTCTACCAACTACATTACAAAGTGTAGGCAGCATTCAGTAGATGGGATTATTTGTTTCAGGTATACTTTGTTTACCTGTTCAGTGAAAGGCTCTGACTTTTATTCTGGATTTATTTCTTCAAATGATAAAATAAATGCTGCATCCTGACTTAAGATTATTTCATTAAAATATTTAGATGAGTATGAACTGATTTTAACAACAAATGCATGGAGATTTTTATTCTGAAGTCTTACTCACTTTGATAAAGATTCTAAAAGACATTTTTCCCCTGAGATTTTGGCCTCATCCTGCCCTCACAAATATTGCATTATGGAGACTATTTCCATTTGAAAATCTCTGGAATATTTAGATAGCAGAATTTCTGTATGGAAAGTACAATTTGGAGAGATGCTTTTTGAAAGCAAGCATCATCTTTAAGCAACATATGAGCAGTGCATTGAGATCTTAGCAGTTCTGATGTCGGATTTCACAATGTCAGTCCTATCTTGGCAAATCCAGATACTAATTTCTATATCTTGCCAATGAAATAGTTCTCCTGTTTTTCTCATTTATTGTACTGTACATTGTCCATTTAAAGGTATACTTGTGATAAAATCTGTTGAGATTTTTCTTCCACCATCCTCCTCAAAAATGAAAGCTCCACTAGACAAAAATAACATTCTCAAAGAAAATGTACTCAAAAGAGTGTTTTAACTTTTTTTAACTTGGCTTACTATAATGCTATCAGATGTTTTTATATTGGGTTACTAGTGCTTTGAGAGCTTGTTAGTAATTTAAGAAGCTATAAAGATTATGTCTATATTTAGTGGAAAATATTCTAGTGTATGTAAGCATGAGAAAAAGAAAGTATCAATGTGATTTACAGAACAGCAGGGCAGTCAAAGGACATTAAAAATAATCGAGATCATTCAAAGGGAAAAGCGAAGGTATTAAACCTACATTTTACCATAGATTAATTATCAGGAAGGCATTGGAACAGGCCTTTTCACTTTAAATAAGATACAATGCCCTCTTCACCAATTTGAAAGTGTCAGGAGTTGGGGGGTGAGGGGCAGTCGTTTGTCAAACCTTAGAGAACAAAATGGATACCAGGAGGTGACCTTGCAGACTCCTCGGAGTGTGCAGCCCCCCAGATTCCAGAGCAACACTGTGATTGAGAATGTATCACATCAGGCCTGACTAGTCCCTTCTTGGAAGCAACTGTATTGACTATGTTTTCTAAAGCCAGGCCTCTAAGTTTCTCTGTGCCTTTCAGGAAATGGTAAAAATCAGGAGAATCTAGTCAGACATATTTTTTTTTAATAGAGCATTTTACGGTTGTTACTGTCCCAACTTTAAATGAATTAAATTTTAAAAATTTAATCCAGATTTAAATTTATAACTACACTTTATATGAAGACTTTTTAATATTTGTTGTTTTTATGTATTTCTCATTTTTGAATAATGTAAATTTGGAATATAATTCTTAACACCGAACCACTTACTTTTTAAAATTATATTTTATTTTAATTGACTCCAATTAAGACCGTTGTTTCACCTTAAACTATTAGGACTGAAAGAGGCCTTAAAACCCTCCATGTTCATTCTGCAGTTAAGAAAACCAAACTCTACAAAGAACAACTTCTTTTCCAGTTCAGTGCTGTCTTAACTCATCTAGGTTTTCTAGTCATGTAGTGCTTCCCCAGCCCTCAATAGGATGAGAAACAAATGTGTGATTATGTAGGAAGCCAGATGCTAGGTCTAATACACAGGAGGAAGAGGCATAGGATTGAAAGCCAAGGTGACCTGGGTTTGAATCCTGGATCTGTGTCTCACTCTCTGTGTCACTTCGGGTGTGTAACTTAATCTCTCCGACTTTCAGAATCCCAGATTCTGAATTGTGTCTACCTCACAAGTTAGTTGTGAGCATCAAATTACACAATCTGTATGGAGCTGCCTAGCACATAATGAAGAGCCAATAAAATTCAAATATTTGAAGAACAAACTTTCGAAGTCAAGAAAGTGGTTTATTAAATTTATGGTCAAAAGCATATAAAAAAGCTTTGAGAGCAATCAGGAGGAAATCACGTTAGCATGAATTTCCTTTTTAATAAGATTTATTATACATATCCCATATAGAACATGTTTATTCAAGTAATGTCATCCAAGTAAATTTTTCATTTGAGCATTTGGAGAATAGAGTTGAAGAGGAAAAGAAATACTGAATAACCTAGGAGAAAAAATAGGTGTGAATTTACATATATACTTAAAATTATATATTTATGTGTAAACATTTAGTGAACTTATATATAATTAACATATATATAACATGTACATATATGTTAATTTTATTGTGATTTATTATTTGTACCCCATTTGCTTCCCAAATGAATTCAGAGTGGAAAAGTTATATTTTTTCTTTCCCATTTTAGGAATGTTTATAACATTTTGAATTTCATAAGTGGTAGAGAGCTTTGGATTCTGATTTTGCCAAATACTGATGTATTTTGAAAGACCATTTAATAGATAAATTTTTCAAGCCAGATATTCTTGCAGAAGTACAAGAAAACTTGGGAAACAAAGCTAAGCACCTGGTGCCAGGATATGAAAATACAGAGAACCAAGTCCATGTGTGTGAGAATCTGAACACTAGAGCTCTCTGTGAAAGAGGGAGAGAGAGATTCCTTTCCCTCACTTCAGCAATAAGAGTAAGGTTACAGGTTTCTTTCTTTTTCTCACTGCTTCTAAAATTGATGAAATATGTTATTACAAATCTGAGACAGAATTATTCAAGATGAGAGCTTAAGAAATGGACTAATAGAGTTTTTGAAACTGGTTTAAGGTTTAAAGTCAGCATTTAGTTTCTTCAAATACAAAAATTCATTTGTCATATAGTTCATGAGTGCCAGAAGTATAGAAGAGATAAAATCCAGCCCTTAATTTTGTGTAGATTTCATTCTAGTGGTTAGAGACTGAGAAATAAATAAGCAAATACTATGTTAAGTGTTGTGTGGTCTGAGAAAAAATTAAGCCCAGCAAAGGTGATGGAGACAGGGAGAGTACGATGTTATGAAGGATGTTAGAGAAGTACTTGTTTGTAAGCTATCCAGTGGATAAACTCAACCTTATTCTTACGGCTCTCACCTCACAAACTTCTAGTATGTAATGTTCAAGGGTGTACTAGAAAATATATTTACTTTGTTAGATTTTAGCTGTGATTATAGTTTCTAAGTAGGAAATACTTGGGTTCTTCATTTCCATTAAGTTGAGGAAACATGAAGTCAATAAGCCTATGATGTGTAAAGATACTACCTGTATTTTTGCCAAAAGTGGAATCCCATGAAATGATCTAAAACAGGAAGAAGCAGAAGGGGAGATATTCCATTGGAAAAAAAAAATGAAACTGGGGGATGTAAAATAATACAGTCACCAAAGCTAAAAACAAACGAGAATATCTGATCTTAAAAAACATAACATATTTTCCTGGAGAACAGAAATCTAAGACAGCAAAGGGAATTCTTTTCCTTACTGTCCCACTTTTATCCCAAAGATCTGAGGGAGCCAAATGAAAATTTCCTGGCATCCTGGGGCAATAAAATAATCTTGGTCTTCTTGTGAAACCACATTAGTATGGAGAGAGAACAGAGGCCTTTTGAGTGCTCCTAAGTGCTGTGTAAGCTGCATTTTTCTCCAGGAACTCAAGGCTTTGTTTATTTGCAAAGAATTACTCTATCAAGGCATGGAGGCCTCAGTGGCCCAGGTGACACACTCAGATGTGAACACTTACCAATTAAGAAGCTCTCAATTAAATGCTTGTTCGAGAGCACAGGGAGACACATCAAAGGTTACTATTGGTTTCTTCAGATATGTTGGTGAAAAAGAAACTGGCATTTCTTTGGGGAAGGTAGACCCAAAAGAAAACATCTTCAGCAAGCTGTAGCTTAACAGAACCCTGCATGATTTGAGCCAGCGCTTCCTTTCCCCTTTGCTAGCTTCAAGCACTTTAATGGCAGAAAACTTGATAAAAAGTACTAGTTACTCACTTTCCCATTAAAAAAGATTTTAAGTGACTGCAATTTTGAGTGCATACGTGTGTGTGTGTGTGTGTGTGTGTGAGAGAGAGAGAGACAGAGAGAGAGAGAGAGAGAGAGAGAGAGAGAGAGAGAGAGATGACCGATTGACCAAAAGTACAACATCTATAGAGGAAGAGTTCATTTTATTTTAAGCTTCCCCATAGCAAGACACTATTTCTTTTACTAATAGTATAACGTCAGGTCACCAGCTGCAGGAAGCATATGGATTATGTACCTCCCCGGAAGCATAGATGTAAATACACATGTAATCACTGATGCTACTTGGACTTCGGTCTTCTTTATTTGGGCCTGAGTGCCCCACCCCCATTTCTTCCAAGCCATAATGTTGGAATTGAAGCTTTAACTAATGTTTTGCTGGTGAATTTAGTGCTTAGTAAAGGAGCTAGATTAACAGCACACAGAGTGAAGTCCTGTTGACAAGAAAAATAAATTTGTGGCGGGGCGTGGTGGCTCACACCTATAATCCCAGCACTTTGGGAGGCCGAGGAGGGTGGATCATGAGGTCAAGAGATCAAGACCATCCTGGTCAACATGGTGAAACCCCATCTCTACTAAAAATACAAAAATTAGCTGGGCATGGTGGCGCACGCCTGTAGTCCCAGCTACTTGGGAGGCTGAGGCAGGAGAATTGCTTGAACCCAGGAGGCGGAGGTTGCGGTGAGCCGAGATCACGCCATTGCACTCCAGCCTGGGTAACAAGAGCGAAACTCCGTCTCAAAAAAAAAGAAGAAAAGAAAAATAAATTTGTGTTCGCTCCTCCAGGTCCACTGCTGAAAAATCATTCCTGAAAAGATGAGGACACCAAGCAGTGCCTCTGGACCACTGAAGGTAAGGGCTCTGCGGAGGGAAGATTAGATGCAGCCCAAATCAACTCACTTGTTTATTGTCAAATTCAACTGGAATTCCAGCTTCTCCCACCTGTCACTTCTTTCGCTGGGCACCCTGCTTATGACTTCTCTGTAACATGTAGCTTTGCCTTTCTTCAGGATACCTGAAGGTAGTTCAAGGCACTACATATTCTAGGAAGGGAATGACTGGTATCTATCCTAGATTTTGACCACAGTTGTGATTTTAAACATTTGCCCTGTGTTAGACTGTGTCCCAGCCTTGGTTTAGAAAACCTAGTTGTGTTGCTAACCTGAGTCTCCCCACTGCTTCCAGTCGCACTTCAAATTCTCCTGACTTCGCTCATGGTTCTAACTTCTCCCCACAACCAGCAGGTGCCTCCTAGAGTGATTCTAGTCCCTTCATTGTCATTCCCCTGAGTTCCTGCATCTTCATTTTCTAGAGCTGGCTTTCTCATTTCCTGTTTAACCTACTAGAAATGCTTCTCCAACTCTACCTACATCATTTATTTCAGGATTGCATTTTCTTTATCTGCTAGTTTCTCTTACTGAAATCTTTCCAATAACAAAATTCAGGTTTGTAAATAACCACTCTAAGATCACTAATTCTTCTAGAAGCCAAAAAAGCATTTATAGCAGGAGGTGAAAAGCAGCTTAATGATTATGGTTCTACCCATTCCCAAATATTTCCAAGAGACACTAAGAAAACTTGGAGGAATTTCTGTTCCATACTTGGTCAACTCTCCTCATTCTCCTCCTGTTCCCTAAGGGATCCTATCCACTCTAATGTTTTTAATCAGACTTATTTATATGCTGAAGTTAACAAAGTATCTACATCTCTAGTCAAGACCTTTCCCTGGAACTCTGGATGAATATATCCAACCAAATACCTACTGGATATTGTCACATGGATTCTCAATATCAACATGTCTAAAGCTGAATTCAACTTCTTCCCCTTTCAAAGAACCTTTCCTATAATAAAAGTGGTAAACACTTCCATAGTACTTTCTATGTATCAGGCATGATTCAAATCACTTTGCACATATTTACTCATTTGATCCTCAGAGCAATCTTAAGACATACATATTATTATTATTGTCATCCCATGAAGAAACAATGGCACAGAGAGGTTAAGTAATCCTCCCAAGGGCTCACAGTTAGCAGTCACAAAGCTGAGATTTGAACTCAAGCTGCCTGGCTCCAGAGGCCATGCTTTTAACCACTGTGCTAGTCTCACTCTGTCACCAGTTAACCAGTCCCCAGGACTGGACATCTAGGAATCAGCTGTCACCTTCCCCTCACCCCTTCATCTAAACAAGCTTGTATTTCTCTATCCCATGCCTCTCTTCTCAGACACAGTGCTCCATTTTTGCAAACCATTCTTTGCAAAATGGACAGTCATTCTTAAATGACTCCCCAACACAGGGAGGACTGTGTCTGACCCTGCCCTGCTCCTTAGCTTTATTCCTTCCCTCCTCCAGCTGAAGCAAAAGACTCTCTAGCAACACTCAGTGACTTCCCATTCCTTTAAACACAACTTCTCCTGTGGATTTTCTCATGCTGTCCTCCAACCTGAAGGCTCTTCCTTTTTCCAGCACACTTCTCCTAATTTCTATTCATTCCAAAGCTTCAGTTCAGTGTCCTTTTGCCAGCAAGTCTTCCCTAATGTCTCTACTACCACCATTTGCCCTCTGAGTGGGCTGGTTAGTACCACCCTTCTCATGTGCTTTATGGTACCTCTTTCTCCCTGTTTTTCTTTTTCCTTTTTTTTTTTTTTTTTTTGAGGTAGGGTCTTGTTCTTTTGCCCAGGCTGGAGTGCAATGGTGCAATCTCAGCTCATGGCAGCCTCTAACTCGTTGATTCCATCATTGACTTCTATTTCACTATTCATTCTGTTCATTTGTCTGCCCCCTCTCACCAGAACCATTTGCTCTGTGAGGGCTGTGACTGCACTTGATGAATCTGAAATTCTGTAGCACCTAGTTTGGTAACTGGAGAAAATGGATAAATTTTTCATAAGTGAATAGACATAAGGAGTGACTGAAAATAGAGAGCCATATGGTGTTTATGCACCAAATGTGTGTATGTAAAGGAAAAGAAGGGTCAAAACATGCATGGGTAATTTCACGCGTATTTATGAAATTTCTGATTTGCACCCAGCCCTGGTCATTTGCAGTGATGGACAATGTGACCAACAATTGAAATGATAATAGGATCATTCTAAATTAAAGCCAAAATATAACTTCATAAGTGGGTTCGCTGAGCCTGAGTCACTCTCCAGCTGTGTCAGTCATCCCCTTGGGCAGTGTCATGAATTCTCTTGAGTCTCTAAAGTTGCAGGTCATACTAGAAAAGAAGGGCCTCTGCTGTTCACACCTGGAGGGCTTCCCCCTCAAGGCAGGTAAGAAGCCCCAAGGCCTGGCTGCCTTGACACTGTTCTTACAGAGCCTCTGCTTGGCAGGTGTGCTGTACTGGACTTCTCTTCAGGTGAAGCTCAGAAGCAAAAGTGGCTTAGAGACAAAAATAAATAAAGGTCAAAGTCAACTTAGACTTTTCACCATGATAATGATGTATCCCAGATTACAGGATAGAAGCTTAGTTCACATGGAGTGCTGCTTTGAGGTATAACCAAAAGCATAACACTCCTCGGAGTTGTTTGCACATAATAATTAGTTGTCCATTTAAACATTTTTTGAGAATCCACAGATGCCAATCAGTGCGCCACATTCTGGAGGTGAAAAGAAAAATAAGAAATACATTTTGCCTTCAAGAAGCTTAGAGTTTGTGAGTGAGTCAGACAGGAAAAGGCATCAAAAAAATACCTCATAGGCTAAAAAAAGTTTTTTTCAAAGTTATAATGCATGGTTTAAAAGAGAGGAAAGGAAAAAGGAGACAAAGCTGGTTACAGGTCTGAGGGAGTCTAAGGAGAGAAAAATAGAAGGAGAGTAAATTATAGTAAAATTTTTCTTTTTGTATATATATATAATTGCACTTTAGGTTCTAGGGTACATGTGCAGAACATGCAGCATTGTTGCATAGGTACATGCACGGCAATGAGGTTTGCTGCCTCCATCCCCCCATCACCTATATCTGGCATTTCTCCCCATGTTATCCCTCACCAACTTCCCTACCCCCCACTGTCCCTCCCTTATTCCCCCACAACAGACCCTAGTGTTTGATGCTCCCCTCCTTGTGTCCATGTGTTCTCATTGTTCAACACCCACCGATGAGTGAGAACATGCAGTGTTTGATTTTCTGTTCTTATGTCAGTTTGCTGAGAATGATGGTTTCCAGATTCATCCATGTCCCTACAAAGGACACGAACTCATCATTTTAATGGCTGCATAGTATTCCATGGTGTATATGTGCCACATTGTCCTTGTCCAGTCTATCATCGATGGGCATTTGGATTGGTTCCAGGTATTGGCTATTAAAGAGTGCTGCAATGAACATACATTGTGTGCATGTGTCTGTATAATAGAATGATTTATAATCCTTTGGATATATACCCAGTAATGGGATTGCTGGGTCAAATGGAATTTCTAGTTCTAGATCCTTGAGGAATCGCCACACTGTCTTCTACAATGGTTGAACTAATTTACACTCCTGCCAACAGTGTAAAAGTGTTCCTATTTCTCCACATCCAGGAGAGGAAAATTTTTAAAGAAAATGCATAGTTACTGTAAATCACATGGGGGATTGGTCACAGGGAAGTAAAGGGTTTTGTAACAGCATGTGAGGAGGGTCCCTAGTAGAGTAGGGGAGTGGGAAGGAGAAGAAACAAGGATCTTCCCACCTCCCTATGTGTCTTGCCCTCTTAAAACAAGACTGAGAATGACTAGGCTGAGGACTTGCAATTTATCTGCCCACAATTGGTAAGCCATTGAACCAGCATAGTTGTAAAGCTGGACTGTGAATGATGGGGTATGAATACTCCCTCATATTAGAAAGTTCCAGGACAGCACTACAGATTTCCATCATTTGTGAATACCATTGAAAATTGCAGGGGGTTAAGTCACTTTGTAAGTAACCCCAGAACATCTACCTGCTAGGTGTTAACAGCCAAACATGTAGATTGGGCCCTCTTCTGCTTAGTAAAGACTGAGAAACTGAGAAAGAAACAGCCTCAGACAGATCTTTCACCCCACAAAACAGAGTAGGTTAGGCCCCATTTCCAGTCCCCAAAGAATAACAGATATCCCCTACAAAAAAGCCAGCAGCTCAATGTTCAACCCAGAGAGATTAAGAGAGTGGGAAGACTAAAAGTCTGAGGCAGGACTTCAAAGTCTAGGCTTAAGGTGAAGATAGAAACAGGCATGGCCAGGGCATTTCCTGGGTAAATCACTAGAAAGACTGAGGATATTGTGCACCTACCATGTGCCAGGAAAAAGTGAGTCTTTAGTTTGCCCAAAGCCCACCCCAAAATATATAGTATAGGTAAAAATAGTAGAATTGCCAACACAACTTAAAGCCCTTTAGCTACCATCCGCCTTCCAAGGAAAGTGTGAACCCAAAGTCCCTTCTATATATAGGGTAACCATGTGTCCTTCATCATAGGTCAGCCTTGGTTTACAACTGTCTCCTGGAAAAATTATTGATATCATCCTCTTTTATTCTCAAAAGAATTCTGATATGGGCTATAAATTATCATAATATATGAAAATTCTGGATCCCCAATTGTGGGAGGAACTGGGCTCAGCACATTTCTTTCTTCCACTATGATATCTAATTTCACTATTATCATCTCTGTGTTTACAGATAAGAACTTAAGCCTTGGGCAGTTTAAAGAGCTTTCCCAAAATCATAGAGTCATTGAATGGAAATAATGGGAATTGATCTCAAGCTTATCTGAGGCTACAATTTGAGCTACAATTATTTATATTTCTTCAGTGAAATACCACTCCCTTGGCAAGAGCACAAAAAGTTGCAATCAGTTTTAAACTAATAAAGAAGTTATATGAAGAACTGTCAGACAAAAATCACTATGTACTTGCTCTATTCCAAGTAACCATGTTTTCATTTATTTAAACTAGGTCTCAGGGACAACTGATTTTACAATAAAAAGAAGCTAGCATGAGGGATTGTGTTTCAGGAAGAGGAAGCATGGGTGAGAAAGAATATGGCCTGATAAAGAACTTATGGTTGTTTAGTAAAATGAAAACAGAAGGTTTGGGTTTGGAGAATTAGCAGAGAGTAACCATTGAGGGACTTGATTAAGGACTTGGACTTCACCTGCTTGAACTTGAACTAGGGATCCCTTGAAGGCTGCTACCCAGAGAGAAATATAAGATAAGCATCCCAGAGATTGGTGGGGATGGGATTATAGGAGATTAAACTAAAGGCACAAACTGTTCATGAAGGTCAAAACTAAAGCAGTAACAGTGGGGACAAATGAGAACAGTGTGGTTTGACGGTTTCTCAATCGACACACAACAATGGGCATATTCCAGTAACAAAATGGGTGAGGAAGAAGTAACATAGATGGAGAGAACAAGAATGATGCTCAGTCCTGTTCGCGCCTCCCAAACTTCCCACTGCAGACAACTGCGTCAGATTTTCCAGGCAAGAGGCCTGGTAGTCTGATTATATAACAAGTGTTGGGGGTGGTACTTATCATCCCGGAATTTGGGAAAACACCAGACAAAATGGATACGATGTCCCTCACAGAGCCAAGGATAGAAGACAAGGAAGAGCTTTCATTAGAAAGATAATAAATTTGTTTTGGAAATAATATATTAGATCCAAGATAACCGAGTTTTTCAGTGTCAAAAACTAAGGAAAGGGCCAAGCTTGCAACTTTAGATTTAAGGGATTATTCGTGGAAACATGATAATGGAAGCCATGCCTCAGGATGTAGTTACTCTGGGACCAGATAGTGTGATAAAAATAAGGAAACAAGGACAAAAGTTCAAACAACAGTAACAGTTAAAGAACAGATGTGGGAGGAAGAATCAGTCTGAGAGAGAAAGAGTTCTTAGAAGTTAGAACTACGAAGGGTTAATGTCAGAAGCTAGAGAAATGTGTTTTTCAATGAAAAGGGAGTGGTCAGCAGTATTAAATGCCACAAAGATTAGGAATTTAAACTATCCCTTGAAACTGGTCTTAGAAAATCATCTGTAGCCTTTCCAAGGCAGTTAGATTACAATAAAATTCAAAGTAAATGGGCATGAGGGAATGGAGACAAGCAGCATTTGCTGTATTTTCTATGGTCTTGGCAGAAAACAGAAGAAATGAGGAGTGAGAGGATGATATGTTCAGAGGGATTTGGGGTCAAGAGAGACTCTGCTTTTTTCTAGGCTGTCAGGAGTTGTCAAGGAAGCAAGGGATAGAAACCCATGCAGAAGACAAGAACAGGAAACCATGGCTAGAAGCTCACAAATCTAGTCGATATTATTTTGTAATTAAAGACACATAATTATGTTTGAGGGCCAAGGGAAAGGAATCAGTGAGAAGTGAGACGGTTAGCAGGTGAGGAAGAACTGATAAGTAATAGACGAATGGCTATTAGTTGATAACTGATAAGTAGATAAATGAATGATAAGAACTGATAAGTAATGGAAGAATGGCTATGAGGACAAGAACAAGACTATAGACAGAGTTTTAAAAAGAGGAATGCATTTTTCTCTAAGAGCAGAGGAAATAATAGAAGAAATCAAGAACTTTTTGTTGAAGAAAAAAATATTTAAAGAACATATGCCTAGTGATGGCCTGGTCCCAGTAAAGGAGAAAATCAGGTCAGCCATTGAGAGGGAGAGGTAGGATTGGATCAAGAGCCTATGGTGACAGTTCTAGTGAGAAACCTCTGGAAGATTGGCAAATTGTCAGTTTGAATCTCTTGGTTCAAAATCCTCTCCTTGCTCTATCTACCAAGCCTATATTATAATCAATATCCAGTACTAACAAACCTCTACCTCCCACACTGAAAGCCTCAATTTAAATCTGACTTCAAAAAGTCTATAACGATTTCAGCTTTGGCCAGGTGTGGTGGCTCATGCTTATAATCCTAACGCTTTGGGAGACTGAGGCGGGTGGATCACTTGAAATCAGGAGTTCAAGACAGCCTGGCCAACATGGCAAAACCCTGTCTCTACTAAAATACAGTTAGCTAGAAGTGGTGGCAGGTGCCTGTAATCCCAGCTACTCAGAAGGCTGAAGTAGGAGAATCACTTGAACCCAGGAGGTGGAGGTTGCAGTGAGCCGAGATCACGCCACTGCACTCCAGCTTGGGAGACAGAGGGAGACTCCATCTCAAAAAAAAACAAAAAACAAAAAAAACCCTCAATTTCAACTTGCCTTCACCACTCTGAGATGCTAGTGAGCCTTAGATAGTGCTATCCTAACATGGTTAGTGATAAACTGAGCCTTTTCTTCGCCACTGATAGTTCCGCTAATATTCTTGTGAGCCAGCCAGCATTCAATTATTATTTCTAACATAAAAGAACAGAATGATAATTAGATTTTTTCTTAATGACTAGAGGCCAGCCATTGATGTAATAATTTATTTTCTAAAGGTAGATTTTCAGAAATGGGAATGCTGAATACTTCAGGATTCCCGATTAAATATATACATCTTACATATGAGAAAACTGAGGCTCAACAAATGCAAATGATATGGTACAAAGAGATGAACAAATGGAAACCTGAAATGGAACCCCACAGTGCTTCTCTATAAGCAAGGAAGTGGCTTTTCCTTCTCTTTGTCACTGGCTCTCTGCTCCTTTGCTCACTAAACAGTAGTTTCCATTAGCAAGCCCACCTTCTAGCAGCCTTGCTTCTATTCTCTGGGGACGTCCCCCTCCTTAAAAGACAGGCATGGGTCGTAAGACAGGCATGGACACACCCACCTCTGCACCCGGCACCAGGCTCTGCACTTGGCACCTAGCTCTGCCGCATGGCTCCCCTGGAAGGCTCCAGCTGATACAAGGCTCCTGGCCGGCTCTGCCACCGGAAAACCCACCCAACAACCTGTCAACCAATAGCGGCCTGCCCCGTCTCAATCCCGTTACCCTGGAGTTAATCAGAGCACCCAGCTGTTGCTCGTTCCTTCTAGCCATAAAAACCCCACGCCCCAGAAGTTGGCGCGACTTCCCTGGTCCCTTTCCTCGGGACCATGGAACCTCGCCCAGGAGCTGAATAAATTGGATTTTCATTTTCTTATACTGGCCTCAGTTTCCTCATTTTAAACTCGGCAATAAACCTTATATGGATGAGTCAGGGAGAGTCCTCTACTAAGAGGGGCAGTGCTTAGAGTTGACAGTTAATTCTGAAATATGTCAAAGATGTCAGGGAGAGTTCTAAACTCAAGAAGGCTGTCCAAATGAAGCTCTCCATCTACAGAGCCCTATTTTCCCCTAAAAAAAAATCTCTGCTGCATATTGTTCTATCTCTTTACCTTTTTGCCTTTCTTTGAAATAGCTCACCTCTCCTATTACCAATTAAAGTACTGCTTTTGCTCATATTATTAACCTAACCAATGATAGTATTATGAGCACAGTATTTTTTTCATTTCTTTTACTCTTCAGGATAATTTACTTGTTTTCTTGTTTTTGGTTCACAAAGACACTTTTTTTCCTCATTTTTTTTTTTTTAAAGTTCTGGAATACATGTGCAGAATGTGCAGGTTTGTTACATAAGTATGTAGTGCACTTAGCAATCTGTCATCTATGTTTTAAGCCCCACATGCATTAGGTGTCTCTAATGCTCTCCCTCCCCGTGCCCCCAACCCCCCATAGGCCCCAGTGTGTGAAGTTCCCCTCCCTGTGTCCATGTTCTCTCATTATTTAAGTCTCACTTATGAGTGAGAACATGCGGTGTTTGGTTTTCTGTTCCTGCGTTAGTTTGCTGAGAATGATGATTTCCAGCTTCACCCATGTCCCTGCAAAAGACATGAACTCGTCCTTTTTTATGGCTGCATAGAATTCCATGGTGCCTATGCGCCACATTTTTTTTATCCAGTCTATCATTGATGGGCATTTGGGTTGGTTCTAAGTCTTTACTATTGTGAACCATGCTGCAATAAATATACCTGTGCATGTCTTTATAGTAGAATGATTTAGAATCCTTTGGGTATATACCCAGTAATGGGATTGCTGGGTCAAATTTTGGTTGGAGATTCTTGAGAATTGACGCATTGTCTTCCACAATGGTTGAACCAATTGACGCTCCTATCAACAGTGTAAAATGTGTTCCTGTTTCTCTACACCCTCACCGGCATCTGTTGTTTCCTGACTTTTTAATAATTGGCATTCTAACCAATATGAGATGGTATCTCATTGTGGTTTTGATTTACAGTTCTCTAATGACCAGTGATGATGAGCTTTTTTTTCATATGTTTATTGGCCGCATAAATGTCTTCTTTGGAGAAGTGTGCAAAGACACATTTTTATCATTGGCTCTGTTTCTTGGATTTTTATTTCCTTATTTGCTATTATTCAGGAAATCTATAGCTACCTAAAGTTTGGGTTAATTTTTAAATAAAGTAGTTATTTGTCTCTCTCACTCACAGTGATGAACACATAGTTGGTATTCAGTAAATGCATCTTGGATTGGAGAAGCAGTTTTCTTTTGTTGAACCAATATTAACTGGACCAATCCATTAACCCTTGACCTATATAATCCATGTAACCAGATTGATAGATGCTGTAAGTGTAACTACTAATAGCAACTTATAATGACAGAAAATTAATCTGTGTAAGCCATTGTTCTAG